TTTCTTGATATCCATGCTTTTAACTTATTATTCTTATCATATTAAATTTAGAGTTTGAAGTTAAAAAATCATCTATACAATAAACAAATACTACAATTCAAAAATAACTTCTTCTTTTTTTGGTATTAACCTCTCACGTCAGATCTCATATGAGGGAAACTCTCTCAACACCTATTTTTCTATTCACAATACTTGAATTCAAAACATTTCTTAAGGAAAATCAAACTCCTTTCACTTAGACTAACAAGTTATTGGTTTAAAAATAACTAATGGAAAGGTATAAAGAAAACTAAAAAGAACAAAACTTTGAAGTTATAAGTACTCATTGTTGCCAGAGAGTGCAAAGAAGGGAAAAAATTATTGGCTACGTATATAATATGTGTTTGGAATAGAGTTTATTATTTATAGGTGCATGTGATTTCTTTTATTTTTATTTTTAAAAATTATTGTTATTATATAGATATTAAATATAATAAATATATATATAATTTCAATTATACAAGTATAAGTAACATGTTAATTAAATAAAACAATTAAACAAGTTGAGTAAACAATTCTCTCAACTCTTATACTTGTTGTTTAACTTAATACTTACAAATATATCATTTTCATGCCCATTATTTACTTTATTTTTTTACAATTCAAGTCAAATATTTATCCAAAAAAATAAAATATTTATAAGTAACAGAAATATCCATAGCTAACGCTCACCTCTGCTTTTCAGCACATGCACAATCACAACATGAAATCTGAACAAGCTTCGCAGCAGCCCGTCCAAACTGACGCAGTCTGGGCTGGGCTCACCACAAATCGTCAAAAGAAAAAAAAACTCAAAAATTAAAACTCGGATCTGGATTGAAACTTGGGTCCAACTCCAAGTCACCCTATTCTTAATTCTTAATTCATAATTTGTGATAATAAATCCAATAATAATTTTAAAAAAATATTAATTGCCACATGTGTGTGTATATACTAGAAAAGTACATATCACTCTTAACTCTTAAATAAATTAAAGTTTTAATCTTAAATCATATCATTTTATTTAATTAAAATTTAATTTAAAATTTAAAATTTTATCTTATTAAATATTAAAATTTGATTTAAAATATAA